TTGTTGACTCTATGGTATCGTCCTTTGTTAGGCACTGTTTACAACGAGCCAAATAATAATTAAAATAGGAGATTAATTTCTGGTATTAGAAGTCAGTGCGTAACACTTATTGCCCAAGCACGACACATTTCGGTGGGATCAAAGGACATTATCTTGGCACCTATTTAATGGCTTTTAATCGCCTCTCTTGTCATTGTCTGGACAAGGAGAAATACTAGCATAACGTCAGTGATCAGTCTCCAAATAAGACGTAATACCGTCACGTTTTGCTTTGATCACTATAAATCCGGTTTTTTTTTTTGTTTTTTTTTTGGTCTTTTCTTTCCACTCCCACTTTCAATTTTTACCGGCCTGATCCTTTGTGTGCCGCCTTGCTGTTAAATCCTTCGGTCTGGTCTTTAATGAGACACTTTCCAATATTGTGTACCTTCATGTTGTTGTAGACCCCTGCACATTACAATGAGATTTACGATCTCGTTGTTTAAGTCTGATGTTGACCAGGATTTTACATTGCATATTATATGGATGCACGAACTGCCTTTTAGTGTTGTTTTTTCTGTGGGGGAAGATTTGGGGGGGGGGGGGGGAACCTACATTTGACGGGATTTTTTATTTGTTTTTTTCTGGGGGCGCCCGGGTACATGGCAATTTATTTAAAATTTGCAAATTCAGATCGATTTTTTAATTGTTTTTTCCTGGAGGCGCCCGAGTACATAGCAATTTAATTAAAATTTGCAAATTCAAGGGGGGGGGACTAATGTCCCCATGTCCTCCCCAAATGACGTCCGTGTGTGTATGTAATTATGCCTGTTTGTGTGTCTCTGTGTAATGGTGTGGTTGTGCAGCTTTACCTTAATTGAAAAGGGGAGGGGGTGGGTGTTGTTAAAACTCGGATTGATTGGAGCAGATGTCAGCAGCGGCTTAACGTGGGGTGGTGGGGTGATGGGGGACATGGGAGTGTGGGTGGTGGATGGGAGGTAAAGGGCATACTTTCCCGAGTGATTGAACTTTTGTTAATGTTATTTACAAACATCATATTTAAAAACATCATATTTACAAAAATCACATTTACAAACATCATATTTACAAACTTTATATTTACAGACAGCATATGATACTTGCATTATAAGATAGAGTACAACCATTTATAGTGTCATATCTTGAATTTACATTTTATTTTTTTTTAATGCCTTCATTATTTGTGTGCATAACTTGTCAAAAAGTTTTTAATGTTATGATAATCTTATCGAGGGATAATATATAAAGGACAAATAAGAAGTGTGGGTGAAGGGATGAGGGGGGTGGGGGGTTAGACTGTAACATCTGAAATAGGCGTCAAACGTATGAGCTCTAGTCTTTAAACGTGACATTTAGGCTTAGTTACGCAACATGCATGTCCCACCTTCATAATCAACATTGCTGCACAACATAATCATGCGCTGACATGATTATTGGTAGACTTTACTCCTTTGTACAGGGTTCTGATTGTTCCTTTTTTAGTCACATCCGCAGATAGAATGGACTTGACATTCGAGCCGAATAGTTTGAGCGTTGTTGTCAACATCCACTGTTTTCTGTTTTCTGTCTTCTGTTTTCTGTTTTCTGTTTTCTGTCTTCTGTCTTCTGTTTTCTGTCTTCTGTTTTCTGTTTTCTGTCTTCTGTTTTCTGTTTTCTGTCTTCTGTTTTCTGTCTTCTGTTTTCTGTCTTCTGTTTTCTGTTTTCTGTCTTCTGTTTTCTGTTTTCTGTCTTCTGTTTTCTGTTTTCTGTTTTCTGTCTTCTGGTGGAAATATGTTTTCCGTGTAACATTTTTAAAAAAAAAAAAACGACTTACAATGCTTCCAGATAAGGAAACACATTTAAACTGTTTCTAGCTGCATTTCTTATACAGCTATACTTAATCTGTGTTAATTATCAGCTGATATTTCCACGTCTTTTTTTTATCTTTTCAAATTCTAAACATTCCTGCCTATCTATCAAAAACTCATAAATATATGATATATAAATTAACTAATAAATAAATACATATATAATATGCATCGTATGTAATCGCATATTAGCCGAATTTAGAACTATAAAATACAATACTGAAATCAGGGGGGGGGGGGGGTTTGGCTTATATGCGCATAAAAAAAAATGGACACAAGGACAGACACTAATGGCAATTTTCCAGCCACACATTTTCATCGCTATCTGACTCTTTATTTGGGTGTGCGTACAGATTATTAATATATATATATACACAGAGGTGTCACTTCAAAGAATTTAATGTATGCATAGCTGATAATTATACTGAGTGTGAATATTACCATGGATATGTGATAGTTTTTTGTGAATAAATAAAACACAACAAAAGAATTTTCGTCTTTATTCATATCAAAACGAATAATTTTTTTTCTAAATACATACTTCGTTAATCATTAGTTGTGAACAACTTATGAGCGGAAGGTCAAATATTATTATAGCAAACAATGTGGAAAGAGCAGAACACGTTTTGTGTCATTCCAAAAGGTAAACATACTGGTATGTAACATAAAAGTAAACAAACCGGAATGTAACATAAAAAGTAAGCATTGTACATCTTTACAGTAACAAATTTCTGTGAACCAAACATATGGAGTAAAATTAGAAAATTGTATCGTCTGCTAATATGCGGGTTTTTTGCAAAAACTGGCCATTTTAAAGCAGTTTTAGAGGTCGGCTTATAGGCGATAGAGACTTATATTCGAGAATATACGATGTATATATATATAAATTCTTATGGACTTAGTCTAGCCATTTTTTCTCCTTTAAACTTAATTCAGCACCTTCTATTTTTAACTGGCTATAAGGGGTGATAACTCAAAAAATTAAAAATGGACTCTGCCGTTTTTTCCCTTGAGGTCTTCATATAGAAAATTAGATAGATAGATAGATATATTAAAGATAGGTATATATTAAGATATAAACAGACATATTTGTAAAGACTCTAAATGGTCATCTATTTGAAATGCCGCCCCCCCAAAAAAAACCTTCTTAGGACTTATGTTTGAATCTGTCCGTCTCTGTCATTTTCCTGACATGCCTAAATAAAGGCCCCGAACTCATGTTTTCCTCTGTGTTTCGTTTTGTTTTATGAAGTTGTTCATTCCATATTCCACATTCCTTAACGTTTTCTTAAACTAGAGATTGTTTATAGTATATAATGTATACTAGAGATTGTTTGTCATATACACTTATATAAAAGATTGTTTTCTATACTGTCGTATTAAAATGAGCCTAATAACGTTAATTTAAGATATTTTTGAACAATTTAAAACATTTTGTTCTTAGTTTTTAATTGATTTCTTCTGCATTTTAAAGCTACAAAAATAAGTAAGAATGATATTTTCTTTGTGCATGTGTCATTGTGCATGTGTCATTGTGCATGTGTCATTGTGCATGTGTCATTGTGCACGTGTCATTGTGCATGTGTCATTGTGCATGTGTCATTGTAAATCTGTCATTGTGCATATGCAAATTTTGCATGAGTAATTTTGTATGTGTCATTCTGCATGTTCCATTATGTATGTGTCATTGTACATTTTCCATTTTGCATGTGTCATGTGAATGTGTTATGCATGTGACATTATGCATGTGTCATTGTGCGTGTGCATTGTTCATGTGTCACTGTGCATGTATCAGTATACATTGTGAATATGCCATTGTGCATCTGACATTATGCATGTGAAATTTTTGCATATGTAATTGTGCATGCGCTATTGTGCATGTATAATTTTGAATGTGTAATTATTAATGTGCTATTATGCAAGTTTTATTGTGCCTGTGTCATTGTTAATGTGTCATTGCTCAATTTTTGTGTCTTTATTTACCAGATTTGTCAGTGCACCTAAGTATCAAACAGTGTGTACAATGATTTAATTATTTTTCTTTTGTATTTTAAGATAATGAAGAGACAACAGCCAACCCATATCCAGAAGATAAAACCCAAAAATCATATCCAAAGTCCACATTACCTTCATCTTTTGCACCATCCAAAAATATCCCTACAAAGACAGCAATTCCATCCACATGGCCATCAACAACAACAACAACAAATATCCCCAGTACGTCAGGCATACATTCCACATGGCCATCAACAACAACAACAAATATCCCCAGTACGTCAGGCATACATTCCACACGGCCATCAACAACAACAACAACAAATATCCCCAGTACGTCAGGCATACATTCCACACGGCCATCAACAACAACAACAAATATCCCCAGTACGTCAGGCATACATTCCACACGGCCATCAACAACAACAACAACAAATATCCCCAGTACGTCAGGCATACATTCCACACGGCCATCAACAACAACCACAAATATCCCCAGTACGTCCAGCAAACATTCCACACGGCCATCAACAACAACAACGACGAATATCCCCAGTACGTCAGGCATACATTCCACACGGCCATCAACAACAACAACAAATATCCCCAGTACGTCAGGCATACATTCCACACGGCCATCAACAACAACAACAAATATCCCCAGTACGTCAGGCATACATTCCACACGGCCATCAACAACAACAACAACAAATATCCCCAGTACGTCAGGCATACATTCCACACGGCCATCAACAACAACCACAAATATCCCCAGTACGTCCAGCAAACATTCCACACGGCCATCAACAACAACAACGACGAATATCCCCAGTACGTCAGGCATACATTCCACACGGCCATCAACAACAACAACAAATATCCCCAGTACGTCAGGCATACATTCCACACGGCCATCAACAACAACAACAAATATCCCCAGTACGTCAGGCATACATTCCACACGGCCATCAACAACAACAACAAATATCCCCAGTACGTCCAGCAAACATTCCACACGGCCATCAACAACAACAACAAATATCCCCAGTACGTCCAGCAAACATTCCACACGGCCACCAACAACAACAACAACAAATATCCCCAGTACGTCCAGCAAACATTCCACACGGCCATCAACAACAACAACCACAAATATCCCCAGTACGTCAGGCATACATTCCACACGGCCATCAACAACAACAACAAATATCCCCACAACGGATACTGATTTTAAAACGACCACAATTGTTCTGGCGGTCGTCACTGGTACTTTCACGATAGCTGCCGCCTTGAAAGTTGCACTCCATGTGTATAAGAGTGGTTAGTGAAAAAAAATTTTAATTTTTTTTTTATGTATTTAAACGTGTTTTGTGATAGGAAATGAAACCACGGGCAAGGTGCACAATTTACACTCAATTATATAGTGGATACTGGATAAAATCACGGCTTTTTCTACACTTGGCCCTGGACCAAAATTAATCGCCTTATTTAAATAAACACATAAGCATTGATAGCCATACATTTCTAGCTAAAGGGTTGAAATATGTAAATATAGTAAATTAGTAACACGATATTGAGTGACATGTAGATCTAATATATCTTGACAGTGACTTCTTCTTGTGTTGCATGTAGATCTGATTTATCTGGACAATGACTTCTTTTTGAGTGACATGTAAATGTAATCTTTCTTAACATTGACTTATTTTAGATTTCACGTTTTTCCAAAAGTTATGACCCAATTATTATTCGACACATAATGTAGGTTAAGATTGAAAAAAAAAAGGGGTGGGGGGGTAGATAAAGCTTTGGGGAATTCGTTTGATTTAAGCTAATTTAGTTTATATACATATAAATAGAAATCTAACAGTCGCATATTATTTGACATATGATTCATAATTTCCCTTTTTATCCTGTAAGTTATGTGATGTTTATTTCTTTCCCCAATTATAAATTATATTATTTTTTTTAAAATACACAGTACGTCTTTATTACAAATAGTCTTCCATTTCTTTTAAAGCCATATACGTTTACACATTTCTCTTTTTTTCATATTTTTTTTTTACCAACCATATAGGTTGTCCTAGATGTAATGATGAATGTTTAGCTACAGTGCTGAAAGTCATCCGACCTAAAGTCAACATAAAGTAAGCGCGTTATTTTTTCCCCTTAATTATGTTTACAGTTAACATTTTAATGTTCAGTAAAATTTCGGGCAGCTGGTTTACGTGTCTTCTTCTTTTTGGCTGAGGTCAAGGGTCAATTACCTTAAAACACCTGAGCATAAAATGTTGTACTCCGCAGCTATGAATGGCTATGGATAAGAACGTTAAAAATAAACCCAGACAGATGCTGACAATAATGCAGAAAGTGACCGCATGCATAAACCAAATAGACCTACAACGACCTAGAATAAAGATGGAGACCAAGGTGAAACTTATTAACAGTGTCTTTATTCCAACTCTTGCTCACAGCGACCAGACTTCGACCACCAATCTAAGACCTCGAGAAAAGAACGATCGCCTACCAGAATGAAATATCTGCAGGCGAAGAGCTGTTAAAATATGAAATGACAATATTCGGAATAAAGAAATTGACAGCTAGTTTCTGCCAGCAAACAATGGACCACCAACAAATCAGCTGTTTAGGCCTATGGACAGTAATCGGTCAACAGACCTTCATTTCAATTATTCTACAATAGGAGAACATTTAGTTTCAAGTGACAGAGGAAGACGACGACGCCAAAAAATCGGCGGTGTCAAAGAGCACTTTAAATCAACGCTATGCCATCCCAGAACGCTTCACACCTTAGACAAAATCACCAATTCTTATCTATTCCGATTTTAAACCTACAATTATCGTAGGTACTGTACAGACGACCAATATCACTCTCCTGCTGTTGGTTGTTGACGTTGAGTATGATTCAATAACAATTTTAGACCCGTTCTTCCCATTTACGCATTATTTGCGATTTAGCCCTGGTTAATATTTTAACAGATTTACAACTGCTGGAGGTTCTCACTCTTTGAACAAAATCCACAGAACGGTCTGAGAGGAAGAAAGTGGAGGAGCAAACCAGAGAACTACATGGGCTGTAGCGCAATGAAGATGATAAAAAAAAACAAAGTATTAACAACAGACGAGTTAGTACTCAGCACTGTGTGAGTCCTCTGACTCCACTTTAAACCAAACATTTCTTCCAGTACAAAAAGACTATCCGATTGAAATAAGACACTTACCTTCCAAATCAGGGGTACAGTTTAAGACTCGCTATACATGTTAAATTGGCAATTGGACTCCTCCATGGCAATAATGGAGTCTATCGCCCATTCATTGGTAGCACAATTCCAAACAATTATATATTCTCCATGGAACAAAAAACGTTATCTTGACTGCTGGCTAACCCATCCATTTATATGTCCTCTATAGAACAAATGACGTAATCTTTACTGCTGACCCATCCATTTATATGTCCTCTTTAGAACATACGACGTATTCTTGACTGCTGACCAATCCATTTATATGTCCTCTATAGAACAAATGACGTAATTTTTGCTGCTGACCCATCCATTTATATGTTCTCTATAGAACAAATGACGTAATCCTTACTGCTGACCCATCCATTTATATGTCCTCTATATAACAAATGACGTAATCCTTACTGCTGACCCATCCATTTATATGTAATCTATAGAACAAATGACGTAATCCTTACTGCTGACCCATCCATTTATATGTCCTCTATAGAACAAATGACATTATCTTGATTGCTGACCAATCCAATTATATGTCCTCTATAGAACAAATGACGTTATCGTGACTGCTGACCCATCCATTTATATGTCCTCTTTAGAACAAATGACATTATCTTGATTGCTGACCAATCCATTTATATGTCCTCTATAGAACAAATGACGTAATCCTTACTGCTGACCCATCCATTTATATGTCCTCTATAGAACAAATGACGTATTCTTTACTGCTGACCCATCCATGTATATGTCCTCTGTGGAACAAACGTCACGTGTAATGTCGCGCGTCATCTCAATGACTTGTCATTTTGTAATGTTTGACATCGCTTTAGTTATGAAACTTCCATTCGAGTCTTCGCACGGGTAACCGGAAGTTTGATGATCATAAGTTTATTATATCTAATAACTTAGATAATAAGTTATCAGTGAATACCAAATAAATGAAATGTCACAAAAGCAATATTTTTTTTTCAGCATCGATTTTACAGAGGACGCTGAACGGAAAGGGAAGAAAGTAACAAGGGATATAACGAATCTTGAGGACAAAATCCAAGATGTGTTCGAGATAATTGAGGAAATCTTTTAGTTGTTAGTGTCTGATGGTTGTTAGTGTCTGATGGTTTGTTAGTGACTGATGTTTGTTAGTGTCTGATGGTTGTTAGTGTCTGATGGTTGTTAGTGTCTGATGGTTGTAAGTGTCTGATGGTTTTTAGTGTCTGATGGTTGCTTGTCTGATGGTTGTTAGTGTCTGATGGTTTTTAGTGTCTGATGGTTGCTTGTCTGATGGTTGTTAGTGTCTGATGGTTGTTATTGTCTGATGGTTGTTAGTGTCTGATGGTTGCTTGTCTGATGGTTGTAAGTGTCTGATGGTTTTTAGTGTCTGATCGTTGCTTGTCTGATGGTTGTTAGTGTCTGATGGTTTTTAGTGTCTGATGGTTGTTAGTGTCTGATGGTTGTTAGTGTCTGATGGTTGTTAGTGTCTGATGGTTTTTAGTGTCTGATGGTTGCTTGTCTGATGGTTGTAAGTGTCTGATGGTTTTTAGTGTCTGATGGTTGCTTGTCTGATGGTTGTTAGTGTCTGATGGTTTTTAGTGTCTGATGGTTGCTTGTCTGATGGTTGTTAGTGTCTGATGGTTGTTAGTGTCTGATGGTTGTTAGTGTCTGATGTTTCGTTAGTGAGAGATTTTTTTTATAAACTTTAAATGTGATCAAATGTATGTTAATTTTTTATTTTTACTCCTTTCTTAAAATCTTTAAGATTATTGCGTTTTGATGTAATTCGTATGTTAACTTTGATCCCATTTTTTAAAAATTCTTTGTCCATTCTCTCTCAAGCTCTTATTTCGGAATCAGGTCAAGGAGACGGACATACGATCTGTTTTCAGTTTAACTAGCCGATTTTTCGTGTGCTCAGAGTTTCTTTGAAACATCTCTTCCATCATTGATTCTCATTTTAACATTGTCATATCTTAAATGTTTATTAAAAGTGCTGTGTTTTTTTTTAAATTGTTTATCTATCAATTGATTAAGTGGAACAATATATCTAAATTGGGATCCTATGTTAAATATTAATGATGTTTTAATAAATATAAATAATATGCATCTGTTCAGAAAAAAATGAATTTGTCTCCTTTGTGTGAAATGATCTTCTTGTTCATGAATGACTGAATAATGCCCAGGGCTTGAAATATCGCGTCCTACTTAATGACAGAATTTAGATATTTAATGAACTATTCTTACGGCAGCCTGTTTCAATGCGGTCTGCTCTTATGCTGGCTGGTGACATCCCTATTTTGTTGGCGCCCTTATACCTCATGCTTAACTAAGACCTCCTTATGAGAGCGACTGGATCTTTGTCAAATTTGCAATTATCCATTTGGTGCACGCCCCATTGGGGAGCTGCCACCCTGTTCTGTCGACACCTCCCTCCTGGACGTCACTGCCATAGATCATTAGATGGTTACAGCGTCCTTAGTTTGAGATGCCCTCTGTGTTTTAAGACAACTACGATAAGCTGAGATAAGAGAACTCCGATAAGCTGAGATAAGAGAACTACGATGTGCTGAGATAAGAGAACTACGATGTGCTGAGATAATACAACTCCGATAAGCTGAGATAAGACAAAACTACGATAAGCTGAGATAAGACAAAAATAAGATAAGCTGAGATAAGAGAACTACGATAAGCTGAGATAAGACAAAACTACGATGTGCTGAGAAAATACAACTCCGATAAGCTGAGATAAGACAAAACTACGATAAGCTGAGATAAGACAAAACTACGATAAGCTGAGATAAAACAACTACGATAAGTTGAGATAAGACAAAACTACGATAAGCTGATATAAGACAACCATGATAAGCTGAAATGATCCCAGTATTTTATAGAACAGACTTGGCATCGTTTGAATTTATGCTAAGTTCACGCGATAAAATTTTCGTCAAATTTTCTTTTTAAAGGCACAATGTTGTAACACAAAAATGGTGCGTTTCAAAAACGATATTTGACGGGATATCTGATCGTGTGAACTGGGCATTAGGCGTAATACAAGGGAAGTAATAGAACTTTTGACTATTTAATTTTCTTGATTTTTACATTCATTATCCCTGATGTATTCAGATATTCAAAGATGACCAAGAAAGCGATTTACACAATTCTGTCCCGTTTCGTGCTTCATTGAAGTTATCCGGGATCAACAAATTGGGTGGGGGGAAGGGAGTCACCAGTGTGTTTAAAATTCGGTTGGTTACCTGTTTGCTAAATAAGTCTTGATTTTGTCCGCATTTTCTACTTTCTGAAACATGGCCTCCACCTCGGGGAAGCCGTCTGCCAATCAGGACACTTTCATCCTGTTTTCTATTCCTGTAGTGAAGTTCAACGTGATGGGATCCACTAACGTTAGTTGGGGATATGGATCGATAGTTTTAACATCAACAATATATATATATATATATATATATGTATGTGAAAATGTGAAAAAAAAGCAAATTACAATGGTATGGCCACATAACAAGGAAACAAGGGCTTGCCAAAGAAATATTGCAGGGCACCACAGGAGGAGGGGGAAGAAGAGGAAGACAAAGAAAAAGGTGGGAGGATAACATCAAAGAGTGGTCATGACAAACACTGGGCGATGCTGTGCGTGGTGCAGAAGACAGAGGAATGGAGGAGGATGGTTCACATGTCATCTGTGGTGCCCCAACGGTCCAAGGACTAAGGGACATGAGGATGAGGAGGATATATATATATATATATATATATATATATATATATATATATATATATATATATATATATGTATTTAAACTCTACTATCCTGACTGATTCCCCCTCTTATCTATATACGANGAGCTGTTTTCCCTAACAGAAAAAATGAGCTGTTTTCCCTAACAGAAAAAATGAGCTGTTTTCCCTAACAGAAAAAATGAGCTGTTTTCCCTAACAGAAAAAATGAGCTGTTTTCCCTAACAGAAAAAATGAGCTGTTTTCCCTAACAGAAAAAATGAGCTGTTTTCCCTAACAGAAAAAATGAGCTGTTTTCCCTAACAGAAAAAATGAGCTGTTTTCCCTAACAGAAAAAATGAGCTGTTTTCCCTAACAGAAAAAATGAGCTGTTTTCCCTAACAGAAAAAATGAGCTGTTTTCCCTAACAGAAAAAATGAGCTGTTTTCCCTAACAGAAAAAATGAGCTGTTTTCCCTAACAGAAAAAATGAGCTGTTTTCCCTAACAGAAAAAATGAGCTGTTTTCCCTAACAGAAAAAATGAGCTGTTTTCCCTAACAGAAAAAATGAGCTGTTTTCCCTAACAGAAAAAATGAGCTGTTTTCCCTAACAGAAAAAATGAGCTGTTTTCCCTAACAGAAAAAATGAGCTGTTTTCCCTAACAGAAAAAATGAGCTGTTTTCCCTAACAGAAAAAATGAGCTGTTTTCCCTAACAGAAAAAATGAGCTGTTTTCCCTAACAGAAAAAATGAGCTGTTTTCCCTAACAGAAAAAATGAGCTGTTTTCCCTAACAGAAAAAATGAGCTGTTTTCCCTAACAGAAAAAATGAGCTGTTTTCCCTAACAGAAAAAATGAGCTGTTTTCCCTAACAGAAAAAATGAGCTGTTTTCCCTAACAGAAAAAATGAGCTGTTTCCCTAACAGAAAAAATGAGCTGTTTTCCCTAACAGAAAAAATGAGCTGTTTTCCCTAACAGAAAAAAATGAGCTGTTTCCCTAACAGAAAAAATGAGCTGTTTTCCCTAACAGAAAAAATGAGCTGTTTTCCCTAACAGAAAAAATGAGCTGTTTTCCCTAACAGAAAAAATGAGCTGTTTTCCCTAACAGAAAAAAAATGAGCTGTTTTCCCTAACAGAAAAAATGAGCTGTTTTCCCTAACAGAAAAAATGAGCTGTTTCCCTAACAGAAAAAATGAGCTGTTTTCCCTAACAGAAAAAATGAGCTGTTTTCCCTAGAAGAAGAAAAAAAGGGAGAAAATCTAAAGTTTCTGTCTTGTCATAACTCCACTTACATCTTTAACATCCAGTAGCTAAGGGAGGGTTTAAACCGTCTTGAAAAAGCGTTGCCTATTTTAAGACGTGTGCCATTCTTCATGTAGACATTTAGAAGACGTGCCCGTCTCGGTTGACTGCTCTAAAATCGTTTGCTTGTGCGGTAACTCTGTCCAGCAAGCAAATGTATGACATTTTTATATGAGCTATCTCCCTTTGAACCCCGTTCACAATCGGCCGCTTGTGTTCATGAACGTGTGTGTGTGTACAAAATATACGTGTGTGTGTGCGTGCGTGTATGTGTGTTTGTGTGTGTGTGTTTGTGTTTGCGTGTGTGTGTGTGTACGTGTGTGTGTGTGTACGGGTGTTAAGGGTTTCTAATTATTTTTTTATTTTTTTTTTTGGGGTGGCGGGGGTACCTAATTATTAACACTCCATAAGACAGTGACAGAATTATTGTTTTAAAATAAAAGGAATAAATTAGAATGAAAACATAAGTGTGTTCCGACCAATGACGTCATTTGGGTAGGGCAGGGAGGGACTTTTGCCTGCCCCCTGAAGTTGAAAGTTGTTTTTTTTTTTTCCTCCACCAGGTATCAATAGCTAGGACGGCATGAAATCAAACGAGGCGGCAAATAAATAAGGATAAATAACAATTATTCTTTCATTTGAATTTAAGAATGGGAAACATAAATCATCATCAAGAATGCCTTATTTACATTGATGTGTGCTGTGTGGCGTCAGCAGTAGTCCTGCAAAGCATGGTCAGTCAGAGCGAAGAGCAGACGACGTATGTCAGCGCGACCTCTGGCGTCAAAGTAAGTTAGCTTGTATGATAGCGTTGTGGTTGGCTACAGGAGATGAGGTGTGGTAGGCACAGCCGTCTAAAGAGCGTTGTGGTTGGCTACAGGAGATGAGGTGTGGTAGGCACAGCCGTCTAAAGGAGATGATCTATGGTCGGCAGGCCATCTCAGGAGAAGAGGCCTGGTAGGTCCAACCGTCTACAGGAGATGAGGTGTGGTAGGCAGGGCCGTTTACAGGAGATAAGGTGTGGTAGGCAGGGCCGTCTACGGGAGCAGGGGTGTGTTAGGAAAGGCCATCTACGAGACATGAAATGTGGTAGGCAGGGCCGTCTACGGGAGATGGGATGTGGTAGGCCCAACCGTCTACAGGAGATGAGGTGAGGTGGGCAGGGCTGTCTGCAGGAGATAAGGTGTGGTAGACAGGGACGACCACGGGAGATGAGTTGTGATAGGCAGGAACGTCTACGGGAGCTTAGGTGTTGTAGGCAGGGCTGTCTACGGGAGATGATGTGTGTTTGATACTACAATATCCCAATAAGTGAGAGTTTATCACTCCACTGACTTCCCAAATTACCTACTTAGTACTTCAAAGATATCAACTCTAGGATCCTCTATTGACATTTTTATTGAACATGGAGAAAAAAGGGTGTAAAAAAGGGGGGGGTGAATAATTGTGGCACCCTGTCTTAATTTAAGTAATGTCATAAGGATCAGTTCTTTAAGTACGTCACACTATTTTTAGACAATTTTTACCCCCACTCCATTACCCCTCTCACAAATCTTAGACCCATCCTCACCCCGCTCAAAGTATGTCAAAATTTTTTAATAAAAAATTGTTTCCAAAAGTAAAATTTAGATCTAGTCTACATCCCACTTCACCATTAAACTTTTTTTAATGTTATCAAAATGACGTTGACTGTCAGAGTCCTATCCATCTTAACAGAGAGTTTAACAACAACTTAAAAAATAAATGTTATTATTTTTTTAATGTGTGACGTCACACATGATCTTGGCGCCCCCCCCCCAATCCCCGTATCACAAAAATGTCACACTTTCTTAGACTAAGAAAGTGTGACATTTAGACCCCCCCCCTCTTTTCTCTCCGGAGCGTGACGTACTTTATGGACGGCCCCTAGTACGGTTTCAGTGTAAGTGCCGCTGTCATTTTATAAGGTGGTTCCAAACCTCCCATTGCCGCGACCCTTTAATACAGTTCCTCGTGCTGTGGCGACCCCCCGCCCCCCACCAACCATCAAATT